AGCTTTCTAGAGAGACATGGAATTATCTAGAAGCGTGTGGAAGAGTGTAGAATATTCTAGAACATTGTGGAGCTTTTTAGAGAAAGTGTGGAATTCTCTAGAATCGTGCGGAAGTGTGTAGAAGCCTCTAGAACATTCTGGAGCAGTGTGGAGTTCTCTAGATCCTTCTAGAAGATTAGAGAAGCTTGTGGATAGTTCTTGGAAGAATCAAGAAATGTAGTGATGTATAGAAAGTTCTAGAGAAACTTTGAGAAGAGTAGTATAAATAGGGGTGACACTCTTCATTATATTCCTAGGTGAGCCTCTAGAGTGAGAGCTATGAGGAGGTCTTAGAGTGAGAGAGCTTAGTGAGAGAGCCATGTGAGGGTCTAGAGAGAGAGCCTCCTCAAGTGATGAGAGAGAGAGCCTTGAGGAGAGCTCTTGAGTGAGTGAGTGCTTCCTTGAGAGGTGTGTGTGTGAGTGAAGTAGTCTCATATACAAAGAGTGATGTGAGCTACCCGTTTACTTGTAAAATATCTCTTGTACATTTCAATTGTATAATACAAAGTGATATTGTTAGATTGAATCTTTGTGTTACGAGTGGGTGGGTGAATGTACAAAAGTCCTTTGAGCTGGTGATCCTGGAAGAGGTCGGGGGTCGTGTTTTCCCCAACAAGAATCTCCCAAATCTAATATTTAAGAGAATGCATAAATACGTATCTAAAATTGAACACAAAACACACACATCTGAAAGGAATAAGTAGAGTTCTTAATTGGTGATGCCGGAATTTAGGATATTTTACTTTGAATTGAAATTTAAATGTTTGATCTGTTTTTGTCTAATCTAGTCTAAATTGGTATGCTTTGATAAATGTTTGGTCTCTATATATTTTATAACAGTTGAAACACGTTCTAATATGATCTTATTTGATGTGGTCTTGACTTAGATACGTTCAAATACAAAAACATCCTTGATAAAATTTCGAAATTTTAAATTGAGAAGTTATGCAATTCATGCAACTTTGAAAACAAATGAGTTTTTTGAGGATTAAAATGTTGCTTAAATCCCTAAATGGGACTAAGTATATTTCTATTCTCTAAATAAGACTATTGTACCAATTTACCCCTGCATTCATTTAATCATGCAGCACCCTACAGCTACTCTACCTGCTCATATCATACGACAAATCTGCAACAGGCTAGTAAGGGGGATTTCAATGTGGCGAACAGAGGCCAGCAACCTTCAGCGGCGGCGAGCAATAGCCAGCAGCAGAGAGCGGTGAAGGTGCGGCGGCGAGCAGCGGCAAGTAGAAGGTGGTGAACGAGCGGCGGCGAGCGGCGGGACGAGCTGTAGTTCAATATCTGATTGTGGACTTCAAGGTTGTATTTCTCCGTGCCTGTAATTGTTCTTCGTCTTCTTTAATCCTTCCTCTCTATTCCGTTTCTCTCTTCTCCCTCTTTGTCTGTCCATAATCACTCTTCATTTGGTTGAATCTTTAAAAAAATGTCAAATTTTATTTAAAAATGTCAATAAAATGGCATTTTTACTTTTCTAAAATGCCAATAGAATGACATTTTTACTCTTCTAAAATGTCATTTTTCTTTTGAAAATGCCATTAACATGGAATTTCATATTTATGTTGGCATTTGGATAAAAATCTTGGCATAAGTGGTAGTGACTGCCAGATCTGCGGTGGAGGATGCTAGATCCGCAGACGAGGCAGCCGGATCTATGGCGACGGCGGCCGGATCTACGGCGGTGGTGGCCAAATCCACAGCAGCGACGGCGAGATATGACACTGAGGCATCGATATGTGCAGCGGCTGCGATTCTGCGGTGGCTCCGACGACCGGCAACCAGTGACCGGCGGAGGTCGAGTATCCAGTTTTGCCAAGCTACGGAGTGTTTCTGTCCAAGTCCAGAAATTAACTCCTATTTGGGAACATTTTAGATTTTACTCCTATTCTAGCCATTAAAGATATATTTAGTCCCACTTAGGGAATAATCCCAAACAAATTCCCATTCTCTTAGTATGACATACTCGTACAACTTTATTTGCCTCTGAACTTATTTCCACTTATTAAGGAGTACACATGAATCCATGACGAGGGGATCATTCTATGAATCTTTCATAGGGAGAACTACATACAAAGTGCAAATCACCCCTTATATAGGAGACTCTGTCCGACCGTCGCCATTTGGGGCGGTTCTAGGTGGATTTTTTTTATGAATTCTTTTTAGCATCTTATTCATTAAGTCTAGTTTACTTATACGAAATTTCAACTAAAAATTCAACCGGGAATGCAGTCAAATGATTTTGTGAAATATACTGCGCTGTTTAATTGCGCTGTTATCTTCAAAAATTCATTTGACTGTCTTTCCAATTGAAATTTTAGCTGAAATTTGGTATGAGTAAACTAGACTTAATGAATACGATGCTAAAAAAAATCATCAACATATTCCATTGGGAACCGTCCCAAATGAACTTATCTGGTTGACATTCAATTGATAAATTATAAATAAAGTAAGAATGATTTAAAATCACATAAATTTTACCAAATTTAGAAGGAAACAATTTTGATGAGGTAAACCTAAAAATGAAAGATGAGACAATATTAACGGGACAGAGAGAGTACTATATTAAAACTAATTTTAAAAAAATGTAACTACTTTTACATATATACAAAAATGTGACTAATAAATTCATATGTTTGAAAATAGTGGTGTCACTAGCTTTTCATGCCACTTACAATTGCCACTATCAATGTGAAACATCTTACCACAATCGTTGGAAAATGTTATAAAGGCTTTTTATCACAAAGCCAAAACTCACGCAACCATGAGGAAGCCAAAACTGACACAACACGTACTCGTTGAGTAAGGCCCGTTGGTGATGGTCTCTGATCAGTGGCCCTCGTCCAAGGATTCTCCCACAGGATCGTCTTGTACAGGGATCGTCGAAAAGATTAGAAGCACATATTGATTCAAAGAGAACACCTCGGCTTGAATGAGTGCTCCTCAAACCATAGTTATCTCTCGACTTAAAGGAGTAGGAGACTAGGGGAATACAACTCGACAAACACAAAACCAACAAAGTTCAAACCAAACATTACAAAATGGTCTACGCGCTTTCACATCGACACCTATCGGTTTAGAGTATATGGGCTCAGACTCGCGACTCACATATTTATATGGGCTCAGGCTCGCGATTCACATATTTGTATGGGCTTTGGCTCGCGACTTACACATTTATAGTTATACAAGCAACCCAACAGCTACTGAACTATCCACCTCGGTTATGCCCCTTCGCCAGACGAACTACCAACAACAATGAAGGTTACATGAAACAACCAAAACGAAATACAAGCACACTGACCCAACATTGGTCCGTACAAACCCTCAGACTAGATACCTCAAACTAGCCTATCCTAGACACAAAATTACCGGAGGCTAGCTAAGAAACAACATGGACGATGGCACATGCATCTTGTCCCCGGGGGTCCACAAACCTCAACAGATTACCGATCAAGTATGTGTTACATTATGCCACAGATGGGGCTCTTGCCCATAGAGTAACTGACATGTGTACATGCATTTAGTGAACCTAGAATTTATTACTAGTATAAGTACCCTCGTTGGGGTAGATGTAAACAATTTTGTAATCACTAATATACTCTGTAGTATATATATCACTCTTTCTTCTACAGTATCACTAGCAATTTTCTGGTGCACCATCACACAAATAATTAAAATTGATCATACTGACATTTGTTAAAATATTCAAATTTTGGTTACACAAACAACTGGTGTATTTTGGTATGAAAACCAATGTTTGTGAGCCCGAGTAAGTGGTGTGTGCATATATGAAAGTAGATCTAGAGTCTGTGTGGCAACATTTCCATCAACACTAAATTTTGACATTGATTGAAATAATTGTAGATATGCATTTTAACTATTACTTTGTTTTACAAATAAAATCCATTTTAAATATAATTTCATAATCCAACAAATTCCAAATCTTGTCCTGAGAATGAAGACTACTTCATCAATTTGAGTAGATTCCGCTCATTCAGTACTCTCAAATGGGTTGATACTTTAGAGCATCTCCAATGGTAAAATGTGCACGGTGCACACGTGGCATGAAAAATAGCCACATAAATATTAGTAAATAAATTTTTTCTCTCTTTATTTGAATGATTTTATACAGTTTTGGTAAGTTTTTCTCCACACTGTCAAGGAGACCGTCTAGATGTTGACATTGTTGTTGACATTGCAGGGAAAAACTTACCAAAATTGTATAAAATCTTTCAAATAAGGAGAAAAATAATTTATTTGCTAATATTTATGTGGCTATAACTCATGCCACATGTGCACCGTGGACATTATAGCATTGGAGATGCTCTTATAGTGCGTTGAAGACTTGAAGGATCTTTTGATATGATAAAGGTGTATACATAAATACAAAATATAAGTCTTTACTCTTTAGTAGACGATGAAACTTTATTTACTCCGTATATTTTTATATATACTCCGTATAACATAAAGAAGTACGAGTATCAAAGGCAGGGCCGGTCCCGAAGAAATGTAGACCTTGTGCGAGAATAAAATTTGGGCCTTTTTTCAAGCTGCAACACAAGCAAATTGTCTTAAAATACAACTTACGAATAAATGTAATGATAAAAGTTGTCATTAATAACTTACAATTTATTTAAAAAGGGACATTCTTCAAGCATATTTAGATTTACGCAGGGGGATTTTCGGTTGGGGCGTAATACTAATTTTTTTTTGGGCCCTTCAAAAATCCGGGCCCTGTGCGGTCGCACTGGGCAGCCATGCCCTGGGCCGGCCCTGATCAAAGGGATGCTATAAAGTATACGGCGTATTATTATTTATTACAGTTATTATAAAATGAAGTTGTAGGTCCATAGTGATCTTCAAGATTCTGATCTGATAGATATATCTTTGTCTCCTCCAATCTCCCTCCTTTCTCTTTATTTCCCCCCACTTTCAAAGATTGTATCTTTCGCGTATCTCCTCCCCATTTTTTAATATCATTAACTCTTACCAACAGAATATCTTTCTCACCTCCCTCAAATCTATATATATTTCTTCCCTGCACTTTTCTTCACATTTCCATTTTGACTAACCCAAACAATAACTACTCTCTCTAAAAAATGTCTTCCCCTTCATCCTCCTCATCATCCTCTTCTTCATCAGATGAACCAAAGTTCCATGTTCTAGCGGTTGATGATAGCATCATTGACAGAAAGCTCATCGAAAGGCTCCTCAAAACCTGCTCTTATCAAGGTATGTATAGTATATCTGATTTTTTGTATGGCTAGGTTTAATATTCTCTGATATTAGTATTCGGCTCGATCTAATCTAGCAATAAGAGTAGCTTCGATTTTCTAATTGAGGTGAAATTGAACTCAATGGATTAGTTATTGCGGATTAGAAATCGATTGTATATTTTGTAAACAATTGTAGTGTAAATGATTTGCAATTACAGAGATCTGATTTTGTTGTTCCGTGAAATTGATGTTCACAGTGACAGTGGTTGAATCTGGAATAAAAGCGATGGAGTTTCTCGGAGAGCAGATAGAGGAAGTGAATTTGATAATAACAGATTACAGCATGCCTGGAATGACAGGGTACGAGTTGTTGAGGAAGGTGAAGGGCTGTTCATCGCTGAAGGACATTCCGGTGGTGATTATGTCGTCGGAGGATCTTCCTTCCCGGATCGACAGGTGTCTGGAGGACGGCGCGGAGGAGTTCTTCGTCAAGCCCGTCCGCCAATCTGACGTTAACCGGCTCAGATCTCATCTATTGCGGCCTAAATCTGCACCGGCATCTCCTCCTCCTTCTCCGACTTCATTGATCAGCCGGAAAAGAAAAGCGGCCGCCGTCGCCGGCGTGGAAGAGCATTATGGCTTTTCATCACCGTCCCCAGCATTGAAGATGAGCAGAATATGAGTGCGGTGGGTTAGATTTTGTGGGCCATTCAAATCCAGCAGAAAGGAATGGGTGGACGAATTGGGTTCATCTGACATGTGGTGGGCCGGGCCGGTCTCAAGATAATCAGAAATCACGAGATGCTTAAGAATCAAAATCGTCTATGAACAGCCCACCTAAGTCATTATATAGATTTATAATTCTGGATTTTTTAAATTATGGATTGAGTTATACCTAATTACATGTGTATGATGCTTTAGACTTGGAATACTTTCTGAAATGATTTTTAGGGAATGTAGTTAAATTAATACGGAGTACTTTGTATTGGATCGTAAATTAATGAACCAATCAGCTTCCTAATTATATGCGTATTCGATCATGTTTATAGCATCATCCGTCACTTTTGAATGCTCAATTTTTAATTTTTTTATTGCGTTGGCAGATTCAGCTGAGAACTAGATGCAATTTTTACTTTTTTAGTCACGATTCATGTACTGGAATTTTTTGAAGCCGGTTTGGTGACACCGAAACACGTTGAGTCAGTAAAAGTTAATCAAATTTTGATGAACTTACCAATGAAAATTATACATGATACTCCGTAGTATTTCAAATATGCTCCCCGGTTTTAATAAATTTCACACTTTTCTTTTTGGGATGGTCTAAAATAAACTTAACACTTCCTTATTTCCTTTTTTGGCAAACAAATCTACATCAAAACAGTGCCAAACAATGTCTCAACAGTGCCAAACAGTGCCAAACAGTACCTCAACAGTGTACTTTACAGTAAAGTCAAATTTCTTTTCTTATTTTGTGTGAAGTCAAAGTGTGAAGATTAAATAAAACCAGAGGTAATATTTACTAATTATAAAAATCATAATATGATGAAATGACCCTCTTTAACAAATTCAGCACCAAAAATAATTTAAACTTTGCATCTTTTTTAATTAAAAAAAACACAATTCAATGTGTGAATATGATGGAATAATGCAAAATGACTTACTAAACTGTCTGTGCTTCTTTGTCATGAAGTAATAGTCAATCTATGCAATTTTCGACACGAATTTCACTATAGGTCATTCGGAAACAGTCTCTATGTACTTTAGTACAAGGGTAATATTGTGTACATCCGACCTCCCTCTTATCCCACAATAGGTGGAAGCCTTTGTGTCACTGGGATAATGATGTTGATGATGATGATGAATGGGTGAGATGAAAAATTACATGCTCCAAAATATTTAGTTAAAAAGTTGACTTCTAAAAATGTTAAGTTAGGAATATGGTATTTTACCAAACGGTTTCTAGCGTGAACCCATTTGAAATGGTCAGTCTAAGGATGTTTTTAATTGGATTCAAATTTGCTGATCTGGTTTGGTTTGTTTAGACCTGGACAATTTATGTCTGGTCTGATCTGAAACAAAAAACAGTTCAAATAAAATCATCTAAATCATTTTCATTTGGCCAAAAACAACATCACGGACCAGGCATTAGCTTGAATTTGAGTTAATGTTGAGGTTTGAGGAGCAATTTAAAACTCTCCACAAACAAACAAGAAACATTTTAGATATTCTTGAGATTTGAATCATTTGATGTATTGAAAAGTTAACTATTTCTAACAAAATCAGATTTTGAATGAAAAACTAAAAAATATGGAGTACTCCGTAAGATTTATGAATTTAAAGTTAAACTGTGTTGAAATCTCTGTTCAATTTGAATACGCAGTATAATAATAACTTGTACGGAGTAGTATATACTACGGAGTACGTATTTGTATTCTTTTGTTTTTTACTATCGTATTTGCTTATTATCCTGTCCTTAAACAGATTTGTAGTTCAAATCTTTTCGTTCCAAGAAGTCCCGATTAATAAATGATGAAGTGACATTGCATGTAAATTTTCAAAGTAGCCACGTACAAAGTTTCAAACTAATAAAAAAACACAAAACACGTTCTTTAAGTTTTATTTTGAAAAATGGAACTTCTAGGACGAAAAAACTTTTTTTAATAATTATGAAAAACAAAAAATGGAACTTCAAGAACAAAGACAACGATGGTCATGTTGAAGCAAGAAACAAAAAAGGCAAGTATTATTGTGTAATGAGTCAGAAAATCAACCAAAACGACTTAAAATAAGAATATATTTCACTCTCCCAACTAGTTTACGAAGGAGTAATGTGCAAATTATAACTGTTTTAATCGCATGAAGTTCACACATAAAACTGCTTTGAGAAGGAATTGCATTCTCTAATTTCACTCAAATTATGAGGAGCAAACTTGCAGTCCAAAATGTAGCTTAGATATGATAAGCTAATACTCCGTCATTTTCCTTTTAAATGTCTCGTTTTACTATATTCGGATGTCCCTATTTATTTGTCTAGTACTTTATTTGGTAAAGTTTGTGTGGTTCAAAATCATTCTTACTTTATTCTTACTTTATCAATTAATATCAACCACACAAACCCACTTTTCTTAAAACTCGTGTCACCCTCTTCCGGGACATTTAAAAGGGGACGGAGGGAGTAATCCCTATAGAATAGTGTGTGGAATTCAAACAATTGAAAGTATAAAGATACTTTCAATCAAGCATCTAAGGCTTCTAAAAGTTTAATTTTAAGATAGAGTGATGTGTAAATATATCTTTGATTTTTAGCTTTAGGTGTGAATATGCCCCTAAAATTTTAAGATATATTCATATTATCGAACTCAAAATAGACCTGAATTAGTGTAATGAATTTTCTCTACATCAAACTTTTTTAGATAGTGCGAATGTTTGAACATACGAGATTCAAGTAGGTGATTCTCTCTGACGGTACGATGAAAAAATTGAAAAAAAATGCGTGGTGTATACAAAATGTGTACACTTTTTGTGTACATTTGTCTGCCCTTCGCAGACAAGTTGTCTGTCACAGACTCATCTTAATGATAGACAAGTATAAACAAAATGTGTACACATTTTGTATACCCCTAGCAAAATTTGAATTTGAAATTAAACTTTGAATCGAAGAGATTCAGCTATGAAATATTGAGGACTGTCATGCCACGCTTAATAATTGTTTAAAGTATGGTATAAAATATAAATTACTACATGAAATTTATAAAACTTGCTTATAAGCCATCTATTAATCGTATCATATCATTCACACCATACACAATTAAGAATAAGAATATCATTAAAGAGTGTACATTGTTTCTTCAATTCAAGTAAGCATTGACCAAATCCAGCGTTTGTGATCAGTTAGGCTTCAATGCCACGATCTTCAGCAGAATTCTCAAGCACCGCCACTACTCTAACAGTCCCCTAATTTCTCTCATTTCGTTTTTTTCCATCAAATCACCGCATTTCCTTTTCAACGGCTTTCTTTTCCCCGAAAAAAACAAAAGAAAAAACAAAATCCCTTCTTCTTCTTCCTTTTTCGTTTTGCCCTGCCTGGGTCCGCCAAAATCCTCTCTGCCATACTTTCCGTACGTTCCGCCACCACCGTCACGCTTCCTCCGCCTCCATTTGAACGTTGACATTCGCGATTGGATATTTGGATATCAGATACGGAGTAATTTGAACGTTCTTCGCGCGCATTCATGGCGTTTAGGGACAAAAGCGAATCTCAGAAGAATCCGAAGATGAAGACCGCTTCGTATTTCAACCGATCATTGACGATGCATCACGGCCGCACCTCCAATGAATCGTTCGGTTTCGCCGGGAAGCCCCCCGTCGAACGGATCGGCTCGTTTAAGAAGCTCTACGGTCCCGCCGCGTTTGAATCGATCGTATCCGTCACCGGGAAGGTGAAGAAGCTTTGCTCGCTCTTCGATACGCAGAAATTATCCAGCCGCTTGTCCAATTTCCTCCCCCTACAGCAGCAATCTCCGTCCGGCACCGTGGCGAAACCCTCGGATTCCGAATCTGGCGGATCTCTGGTTCAGCTGCCGGGGACGGAGGACAGAGTGGTCATCTACTTCACGAGCCTGAGAGGAATCCGGCGGACGTTCGAGGATTGCTACACGGCGAGAATGATCCTGAAGAGCTTCCGAGTGAAGGTGGACGAGAGGGACATCTCCATGGACAACGCGTACAGGACAGAGCTGCAGAGCATTTTAGGGCAGAAGGATGTGAGCCTGCCGCAGATATTCATCAAAGGGAAGTATATCGGCGGAGCTGAAGTGGTAAAGCAGATGAACGAAGTCGGCGAGCTGGTGAAACTGCTCAGGGGCCTGCCAATGCGGCCGCCGGGACGCGGCGGCGCCTGTGACGGTTGCGGAGATGCGCGGTTTTTCCCCTGCACGAATTGCAACGGGAGTAAGAAACTGTTCGATGAGGAGGAACGAGAAGTGAGGAGGTGCCACGTGTGCAACGAGAACGGGCTGGTTCGCTGCCCTTTCTGCTGTTATTGACTGCCCGGATTTTTACTCTGATCGGTGATTCTCATGGTCCGTACTAATTGCACGTTTAACTATGTATATACGGAGTATCTATTTTGTAAGTATGAACGATTTGAGATGACCAATGGGACGTATACAGTATTTTGAGGAGATTATGATTTATGACGATGTCATAAGTTCATTGATTGAGGGTAATAAATCCCAATTTTAAAGTTCCCTATCTAACATTTTGATTGTTTCGCTGTTCATTCAGGTGGGTTAGTTTAGGGCTTATTTAATCTAGTACACATTTTCATATACACACCTAGACACCCCTGTTTGTTAATAGTATTTTTTTGTCTGTATACATATATAACGTATTTGAAAATACGTTATGTCTGTATACAGACAAAAAAATACTTTTCACAAACATGAGTGTGTAGGTGTGTGTATGAAAAATGTGTATCAATAGATTTTTTGAGGGCTTATTTTGTCTCGAATATACTAAAGCTAACCATGATCAGAATTATGAGTCAAGTCTGATTCTAATTATGGTTCATTTCATATTGGATGTGGGGTTTTACTTTTTGAAAATCCAGGGTCACTTAGAGCATCTTCAATGCTACAACGTGCACGGTGCACATGTGGCATAAGTGATAACCACATAAATATTAGCAAATAAATTATCTATCTCCTTATTTGAAAGATTTTATATAATTTTAGTAAGTTTGTCCCTGCAATGTCAACTGCAATGTCAACATTTAAACGGTCTCTTTGACACTGTGGAGAAAAACTTACCAAAATTATATAAAACCATTCAAATAAGGAGAGAAAAAATTTACTTACTAATATTTATGTGGCTATCTCTTATTTATTTACTAAGTACATAAGTGTCCTTAATGTATACATAAGTGCACTTATGTATAGATTAAGAACGCACTTCTTAATTGTTAGTTTACAAGAGAAATCATCTCATCAGGCTGGCCTGACGGGCTGCCCCGTCCGGCCGAGCCCGTTTGGGCACCTTCCCGGTGGAATTTTTTGA